AACATCATCTAATTAAATAAATTTATTTTTTATTTCATAGCTTGTAAGTATTATATTATAAATTAACTTTTACAACATCATCTAATTAAATAATTTATTTTTTATTTCATAGCTCGTAAGTATTATATTATAAATTAATTTTTACAACACAAAACATCATCTAATTAAATATTTTTATTTTTTATTTCTTTACAATAACCAGGGGGTAAGCATTATATTATAAATTAACTTTTACAACACCTAATAAACTTTACTAAAACATCATATAATTAAATAATTTTATTTTTTATTCCATAGAGGGTAAGTATTATATTATAAATACTTTTACTATACAAAATAAACTTTATTAAAACATCATCTAATTAAATAATTTATTTTTATTTCATAGAACGTAAGTATTATATTATAAATTAACCTTTACAACACAAAATAAACTTTACTAAAACATCATATAATTAAATAAATTTATTTTTTATTTCATAGAATGTAAGTATTATATTATAAATTAACTTTTACAACATAAAATAAATTTTATCAAAACATCATCTAATTAAATAATTTTATTTTGTATTTTATTATAATAACTAGGGAGTAAGTATTATATTATAAATTAACTTTTACAACACAAATAAACTTTATTAAGACATCATCTAATTAAATAATTTTATTTCATTATAATAACTAGGGAGTAAGTATTATATTATAAATTAACTTTCACAACACAAAACAATAATAATGATGATGATTTAAAATTGAAGAACTACAGGAAATTTCTTCACAACAATTATCCAAATCATTATCATCTTCTCCAATTAGTCAAGTTAGCAAAGAAACAAAGGATGAGCCAAACAATAGAATGATAAATGAAAACAAAGTAATTATTGATAAATCTAAGGATAATTGGTCAGGATGGCTTGATGAGGCAATTCAGAAGGAACACATTAATTTTTATGAATATGGTAGTAGGTTTAAAAATATTCAAAAAATTGGTTCAGGTAATTTTGGAAAAGTTTATAAAGCAACATTAGACAATAGCAGTATTTGTGCCTTGAAATCCTATAGTCATGGTATGACAAATATGAAAGAAATTGCTAATGAGGTAAATTATATTATGTTTTTGGTTGTGGATTAAAAAAAATTTTCAACTAATGATAACAATTGGCTCAATTAGTTGAAATTGTTACGTAAAGTTAATCATCATCAAAATATTATTCATTTCTATGGTGTCACTAAGAATGAAAGTATGTTTAAATTATTTCCTATTTTGATTTTCTCCATTAACTAATATTTATTTATATTTATATATAAAGGCAAAGAGAGATATTTATTGGTCCTTGAATATGCAGATAGTGGAACACTGAGAAGCTACCTACAAGAAAAGTTTGAATCAATCAGTTGGGATCTAAAGCTGAAATTTGCATATGAGATTGTATCAGCTGTTTTGTGTCTACATGTAAACAATATTATCCATCGAGATTTGGTAATAATTAATAAACTTATTATTTTTTAAAAAAATTATATTTAATAATGTTTACCTTTTTTTGAAAAGCATTCAAACAACATCTTGGTTCATCAAAAAACCATAAAATTGGCAGATTTTGGACTTTCCCATAAAATACATGAATCTACAACTACTTCAACATTTCAATTAGCAGGAGTGCTGCCTTACATTGACCCACAATGTTTCAAGTCTAATAGCAAGCCAAATAAAAAATCAGATGTATACAGTGTGGGTGTTTTATTATGGGAATTGACTAGTAACAAACCACCTTTTAGTGATCTGGATCCACATTATCAAAGATATGGTTTAGCAATTGATATTTCTCAAGGAATTCGTGAGAAACCTATTCCTAACACACCTGATGAATATGTTAATTTATACAAAGGTAAAAAATCTATATATATATTTAAAAACTATATATTTATATGCATTAAATTTTTGTTGTTAATTTACTTATATCTAGCATGTTGGCTGGATGACCCAAAAGGCAGGCCTGATATTCAATATGTTGAAACAATGCTTAATGGAATGATTTCAGGTTCAAATATAGTTGATAAAATTGATAATGAGGAAAATGATGAGCAACTAAAAAATGAAAACAGTGATTTTTTCAGTCATTCCAGTGACTTCTTGCAAGAAGATTTTGATAATAAAGTCAAAGAACTCTGGAAAACTATGCATTAAAATTTTATACATTAATATCAGCAATATAATTGTAATAGTAATAAATATATGTGTATCATGATATTATGTTATTATTTAATATTATATTCATACTTTCATTCTTATTGTATTTATTTATATAACTCAGTGTCAACATGAACATGGACTGTCCCATCCTGGAGAAAACTATAAATTTGCCTTGCATTTTTAGACCAAGTGAATAAATTTTTTTAATTAATCAATCAACTGGGAATAACAGATGTGGCATAATTTTATTTGGGGTAATAAAAAATATAATAAAATAATTTTGCTCATTAAGAAATTCATCAGGAATATTTTCAGTCAGTAGAGATTCCATACACTATTTTTTTTTGCTCTACATTTTTTATTTTTATTTTTTATTTTTGTACGAAACGGAATTTGTGAATTCTGAAAGTTGATCAGTGTGGGCCAGTCTGTATGATCCTTGATTCCATATTTTTGTTCCATACAGAGCATTATTTACTACAGAGGTGCAGATGTACGGAATACAGAACCTGTATAGACTCGAATATTTTGTGGACTATTTTTTTAATGCTGCATTCCTATTTTTTTCTGTGACTATAACTTTATAACCATTTAACCAAGTAGCTTGGTATACAGTTGCAAAAAACCACCTTCACATCTTTTCAATATTTGTTAAATCATTATAAGGAATCCATTCAAGATAATATTTATTAAAATATATAGTTGCTTTAAGTTGTATTTTTAATCAACTCATCTAATGTTTCATTGCCATTAGTTGTTAATCACATAATTGATACCATGAATATGAAGTAATTAATACAGTCAAACCTTCTCACAGTGAACTATAATAATAATAATCAAATTCTTATCATAATGGATTTTTAATTCATGGTCAGCCAATCAACAATAGAAACTTGCTAATAAAAACCAGGCAATCAACATATATAAATTAAAGAAAATGTATCAAGTGACAGCATAGTGGAATTTTGTAATTATCATGAATGTGACTTAAAATGTCAATCTTTTTTATATTGTGTAATGGTAATTTTAAAGTACTTTTCAATTGGACGTTTGACCTTAATGTGATGTAAAAACTTTTTATCAAAATTGTCAAACCAACTTTATAGTCATATTTTTCATATTTTTTTATATTACCAACTTTCTTCCATCATTTTCCATCACTTTCCTGGAGGAGTTAGCTAAGAACCAAAGTTTATAAGAAAGTAATAGTTAAAGAATATATAATACTGGTATACATTAATTTTGGTGACTCTTAACCCATTATAATATTTGTTTTTTATCATATTATTCAGCAAGGTATTTGTTTCATTAATATTGATATTAATATTAAAATATTTATTGTTTTTATTATTTTTGAAATCAATACATTTCAAGATCAATAAATTTAATAAATTTATTTATTATATATAGTTATTATAGGGAGGCATTTTTAAGGTTTTACGCGTATTAAATTACACTTTCAAATCCTTGGGTAATATTATTCATGTTTGGTTAATAAATCCTCACAAATAAATATTATAGTTTTTAGAAGCAATATGTTTCACTACTCAAGTACAATTTATATTTCACAATTAAATATTTTTTCAAGGTCAATGTTTTCAAATTCCAAATTTACTACTTCTATTAAGATTAAGGTTAATTTTATTTTCATGTCATCAAATATTTTATCATATCCAAAATCTACAATAGCTTTTGGAAATTTTTCAACTTTGAATACATTGGTTTTACCACTTTGACTTTTATACTTTATTGTATGATTCATAGCTTTGACCAAGTTTAATGGTGTGACAATGTTTTCATGATAATATATTGCTAAATCATAGAGCAACTTTGGATGTTTTTTTCTCTCTCCTACATACCCTATATTAATTAAGTAAAAATTACAAACAAATCAATAATAAAAGATGAAAAACATATTTTTTTCATTTAATATATTGATATTACAAATTCTTTTGATCGCCTAATTCAGGTGATAGTAATTGCATAGTAGTAGTTTTTTCAGTATCATTGTTGTTGTCTACATCCATGATATCTTGATTTTCTTGATTTGTATTGGTTGGTGTGGTAGATGATGATAATTCGTTAATATTTTCGTTGCTATTTTCTTCTAATGTTGTTTAATAGTAATTCCATCTGATAAATTTTATTATTATTATTATCATCATTTTCATTTTCACTGTTTGTGTTGTTGTCATCAATATCATCATCATCATCATTACCAACTTCATTGTTTGCATTGTCGTCACCAATATTATCATTATTTTCTTTTTGACGTTTGGATCCCGACCAATGACCATCTTCTTTGTTATATTCTATAATATGGTTTGAATAAGTTGCAATGATGGTGTTGTCCTTTATGACAAGTTCACAACCATCAAATTTGGATGTTAGTTGTGATAAAATACATTTGGTCTCTGCCCCCAAATGAATAGTTTCCTTTTTTTTTTATTAAAGAAAATAAAAACAATAGGGTTTGTATTCATGAACAGTGTTGAAAATTCAGTTGGAGCATATCACGTTACACGTAATGTGTGCACATAACTTTGAAATTTTTATTTTATATACTTGTGTATGACCAATATAATTAATATTTTTGTGCATATAAAAAAATCGTGTAACGTGATACGCTCCAACTGAATTTTCAACACTGTTAAATATCCGTTAAATCAAATTTCACTGTGTAATTGTTTGGGAATTTTAAAAAATCTAGAAGGGGGAGAACAGCCCAATAATAACGTTAATTTGTTAACAACCCAGTTGTAACACTAATAACATCAGTAACAAACTCTCCTATTACTATTTATAATTTTTTGCTATATAGTTTTAATGCATTTATTATTAAGATTTTAAATTATTATGGTTCAAGCCGAAGTTTAACAAATTCTTCTGCAACAATTAAAGCTTTATCAACATCATCAATATTTGTTCCTGTACCTTGAGCCGTTTCATCTTTACCACCAGACTAGCAAGCAATAAGAACATATAAGTATATATAACAAAATTATTAATGTAAAGTAAAAAAATTATCTTACTTTTCCTCCAACAGTTTCAGAAACAGCTTTGGCCCAATCATTAGCTTTCAACCCTTTTTCTATTAAAGGTTGACCAACAACACAACTATGATGTACTTTACCTGATTCTGAATCAATTGAAAATAAATATCCAGTTTTATCTTTTAGATTAGTTTTGATATGTGTGATTGCGTTGGAGATTGCCTTGATTTATTATAATTTTGGAGAGGGTGAAATTAGTTATTTAGTATATTTAGTAAAAAATTTTTTAATGTATAAATAAATATTATAAAAATAAATTACTTTTGAGTTTGATCCAATATTTAACTGTTTAATTATATAAGGACTATTGGGGTTTTCTTTAAAGTAATCATTAATTTTATTAATCACCTAAATAATTATCATAATAATAATTAATTATTATAATAATATCACACTAGTTAATGGTAATTAATTATATACCTCTTTGGATTGAGCAGCCTTTTCTGCTCTATCAGCTTCCACAAATGATTTTTTAAGTAATTGCAATGTTTCTCGAAGTTCTGATTTTTTGATTGCAGAAATATTTGATGCATCAAGATCTTTGGTTATCTTCTTCAGTTCATTGTCAAGCTCTGCACCTTGCAATTTAGAAATTTGTGTAAATCTATTTTGAAATTCTTCAGCGATTCTAGATGCCTACAGGATTAATTAATTTATTTGATTAGTACAAACAAGCCCATAAATACTTATCATACTATTATTATATTAATTGCAAAAACTTTAATGAAATTTATAATTACTTGTTGAGCTTCTTCACCTGTAACAGCAACAATTCTACGAGTTCCTTTAGCAATACCTGATTCTTCTAATATAATAAAACCTTTTATATCTCCTGTTTTTGCAACATGACTAAATTTTTTTTAAAAAAATTTATCAAAATATCTTTTTTGAAAAAAACAATATAGTTTATATATACTAACGTTCCACCACAGAATTCTATTGAGGTATCATTCCATCTTGGGTTTGAGACATCTTTTATAATGTCATCAATGTCATAACCAATCGAAACAACCCTTACTGGATCTGGATAAACTTCTCCAAATACTGCACGAAGTCCATGAATTGCTTTGGCAACTTGTAATGAAACATTTTTAGAATATACTTTTTTATTGTTTTTAATAAATTGATTTGAAATCTCTTCAACTCGTTTTATTTCATCATTTGTTGCACCTTTCTATATGAATATATAAATATGAATATGAATATCCCAAAAAAACCATATATCAATGATAATAGGTACCTTTAGTGAAAAGTCAAATCTTAACTTGTCTGGTGCAACTAAAGAACCTTTCTGATCAATGACAGTACCAAAAACTTCACGTAAAGCAAAATTTAATATATGAGTGGCAGTATGATTGTTTCTAATCGGCCAACGACGTAGCTAAATTAACAAAGAAGAGATTAATTACTATTCACATTATTTATATTATTATTATTTTTACCTCTTCATATGTAGCAACTACAGAATCATCAACAGATAAATTGCCATATTTCAAATATCCAACATGTAAAACATATCCACCATAAACTTGCACATTCTCTACCACAAATTCTGCCTGTCCATCAATGGTCAATGAACCTGTGTCATATGTTTGACCACCCTGTTCTGCATAGAAATTGGTTTTATCAAGTATAATTCCAAACCTTTTTCCTTGCTGGATTGAGTTCTTTGAAGTTTTAATGAAATCATGATTATGAAATATTGCTTTGATTGTTGCATTGATATTTCCGGTTTCTATTCAAATATAAACATCCAATTAACAAATGATGATATTAACAATATAACAATAGTTCACAGCAATAATATAACATCTCACATACGATATTTATAGCTATCATCAGTTATAGATACAATTTTTTCTTTTTCAATACGTGCAATATCATGAACATCCAATACAGTCACTTCTTCATTGCCACTAACACCAGCACGCGCATTACGACTTATTTCTTTGGCTTTCTCTTGTTCTCTAGAAAACTCCTCATTATTAATTTCAAGATTATTCTCTTCAGCCATCAATCTTGTCAAATCAACAGGAAATCCATAAGTGTCATACAATCTCCATACATCAACTCCTGAAAGGTATTTGGAATTGTTTTTTTTTGTTTTTTGAAGGTAGCTATCAAATAGTTTTTCACCACGATCCAAAGTTCTGGAAAATGATTCCTCTTCCTCATCTAGTATCTCTTTAACATCTGTAGCATGTTGACGAATTTCAGGGAATGCATCACTCTTTTTTATTCATAATTAATATAATAAATTTTTTAAAATAATAATTAGTTTTTTTTTTTTTAGCGTTATAATCACGATTTATTCACATACCATTTCTTTTACGACAGTGTCCACCAAACTTGAAAAAAACTTTCCAATTTGAACATTAAATTTTTTTCTAGCATACCGAGCACCACGTCTTAAAATCCTTCTTAACACATAACCACGGCCTTCATTACTTGGTACACCACCATCAGATATAGCAAATGTTAAAGTCCTAATATGATCAGCAATTACACGATAGGCCATATCCAATCCATCAATGTCCTCAACTCCAACTTTGCCGGTATAAGACCTGGCACCAGTTAATTCCTGAATTTTGCCAAAAATTGGCATAAATATATCGGTGTCATAGTTTGACCGTTTGTTTTGTAATGCTGAGACTATTCTTTCCAATCCCATTCCTGTGTCAACGTGTTTGTTTGGTAATAGACGAAGTGTTCCATCAGATTCACGATTGAATTGGATGAATACAATGTTCCAGATTTCAAGAACATCTGGGTCATCTTGGTTGACTAGATGTGATGCATCTCGATTACCAATTCGATCAAAATGAATTTCTGAACATGGTCCACATGGGCCAGTTTCTCCCATTTCTTCAATGTTATATTAATAGTATAATAGTAAAAGAGTGAAATAGTGGCAATAGTAATAGTGATAATGAAATGATGATAATTATTAATAATAAATAATTAATACCCAATAATAATAATTAATGATGATAAACAATAATAAATAATGAGGATGATTTACCCCAGAAATTATCTTTCACTCCAGAAGGAATTAATCTGTCTTCTTCAACACCTATATCCTTCCAAAACTGTTTTGCTTCTAAATCAGGTGCCAATTGCGATTTTTCATCCCCTTGGAAATAAGTTACATAGAGACGATCTTTAGGAATTCCATAAACTTTTGTCAAAAGCTCCCATGCCATACCAATAGCTTCTTTCTAACCATTGTAATTTATTTATTTGAGAGTGAGTGATATACACTATTAAAACTTTTTATTTTATAAATTTGTTCAATTATACAAGAATGATTGATTACCTTAAAATAATCACCAAATGACCAATTTCCCAACATTTCAAAAAAAGTATGATGATACACATCTTTACCAACATCATCCAAATCATTATGTTTACCACCTTTTAAAAGAATCAATAAATTGATTGATTGATTAATTAATTGAATTGGATTTTAATATAGAATTCTCTTCATCACATCACCATTACTGATTATCAATAATCAATCATCAATAAATCAACCCATCAATCAACCCATCAATCAATCCATCCATTAATTATAATTTATTACCTGCACGTATACATTTTTGACTGTTGGCAGCTCTTTTAAGTTTACCAAAATCTGAGTTAGGATCAACAGTGCCTAAAAATATTGACTTGAATTGGTTCATTCCAGCATTTGAAAATAGTAATGTAGGGTCCTCAAAGGGTATGGTGGAGGAGGAAGGTATGTATTTGTGCTGTTTTGATTCGAAATATGAAATAAAAGTTGAACGAACTTTTGCTGCAGGCCAAGACTTTACATCACCATCATTATCAACATTGTTATTAATAGCTGCATTAGTCAAAAAAGTTTTTTGCTCCAACATTTTTTTCTTCAGAAAATTTTTATTGAATTTTTTTTTATAATAATTGATGTTTTTATAATAATTATGTGAACTTTTTACTATTATAGATGATAATTTGTTAAATAAAATTTTCATTATCAATTTTATCAATTTCTTTTATCCATATATATATATCTTGTTACGTAACGTGATCATGAAGCTAATAATCAGGTTTTTTACGTGTGTGATATAATTTTAATCATGAAAATTTTTTAATTTGCTCCAAACCGCAAGTTTAATCAATCCATCCACATAATTAATGTTAAAAAACATTAATAAATATGAATTTAAAAAGTTAGATCGTGTTGAATTTTATTATTATTATTATTGACTGACCGATTATCCGGATAATCGGTGAATCCACTTTTTATATACAGTCAACCTCCTCTAAGCGTAAGTTCCCATTCATTCCCAAGCTCAGGATTAGAGATAAATGGATACCCTCTCCCCTCGCACCGTACGGTCTTTATTCATTCCCATCTATATAAAACCACCACACTCGTGACTTTTACGTGATCAGTACCCAATGAAAATGGTGTGATCGACGTTTAATTTTTCCTTTGTCGAAAGAATTGATTTTTTGCGATATAATATAAAGAATTAAATTTTTATATTTAGTAAATGATGATAAAGAGTATAAAGAATCAAATTTATTATTAGTAAGAGATGATAATTATTTTGTAACAGGAAAGTAAAGAATTGTTCACTTTATTAAGTGACAGGAGAATAAAGAATACTTTCTTTTTAATAGATAATTAGAACAAAAAAAACAAAAAAGCAGACAGAGAAGCTTTATGTAGTTGAAATTATTATAAATAAGACATGGATCAAGAATTTTATTTCATTAAAAAAATAAAAACTTCTATTATAAATTATAACCTTAATTCCTAACTGGTTAATTCTCTTGATACACTTTCTGATCAAAAATATAAAATAATTGAATAGTGACATGTGACTGTTATGTTAAAAGGAAATAATGTAATCATGGTTGTGGAATTTCGCTGTACAACTGTACTTTGTACAATTTGCTCATACATACATACAAGTACGAATCTCAACCCTGAATGTTCAAAAAATCTCCACGTTCATTAAAACACCAAGTCGAATTTTATATTTATATAATGTCACATGCTAACCTATTATCATCATTATCATCAGAAAGGAAGGAATTTGTATTGGGAATTTATAGTGAAATACTTGATAATGCATTTAATTCTGACAAAAAAAGTGCAAGACATTATTTTTTTTCATTAGTCAAAAAAGACAAGGAGCTTTCTGAAAATGAAAAAGAATATTGTAAGGAAAATTTTATCAACCAGTTTGGATTACATAATGCAAGAGATAAATGGGACCAACCAGATGAATGTAACAAATGTAACTTGACAAAATACTCTGATGGATTCTGTGAAAGTTGTATTAGTTTACATTTACAGAGTCTTTTCACTATTTGGACATCTGGAAACAACATAATTGATCATTTTATTCAACAATGTCAAATGAAATCATCTCTGCCAGACTATATTTTAGAATGGATACCTTTTGAGCAATTTGATGATCTAACAAAGTTAACTGAAGGTGAATTTAGTTCAATTTTTACTGCTACATGGACAAGAGGAACTATTGTTGATTATGATGAAAATAAAAAGAAATTTAGTTATTTTGGAAAGCAACCAGTAGTATTAAAAAGTTTAAATGATTTGAGTAATTCAGGAAAAGGCTTTCTTGATGAAGTTGGTAGTTGTCATTAAAACAAAATAAATAATACTGTATTACATAATGCTAATTGATTTTATTTATTTTCAGGCATTGAATTATTGTAAAATTAAATCAACAATGATTAATCCTTGCTATGGTATAACTAAATTTCCTGATAATGGAAATTATGCAATTATTTTAAATTATATTTCAGGAGGAAATTTAAGGGATTATTTACAAAAAAATCATTTAAATTTAAAATTAAAAGACAGAATTACAATCTTTTATTATTTATGTGATGCATTAGATGATATACATGAAAAAGATTTAATCCATTGTGATTTACATAGTGGTAATATACTT